TCTTGGACTTCTTTTTAAAAAAACTATAGGCCTATTATTTTGTAGAATGTCTCTCACTTTGGGTTTATCTGATGTTTCCTTATGATGGATTCAGGTTATGCGTTTTTGGCAAGAATATCACAAAAATGCTCTTGTATTCTTCTCAGAGGCATCATATCAAGAGGCACACTATGTGTTGACTTATGTGTTGCCCAACAAATTTTTGCTAAATATGATGTTGTGAAGAATTCTCCTATTATCTGCTAGAATTTTCTTAGTTTTGGCTTTTGGTTTAGATTTATGATCTGTTTCAAAATAACCTTGAAGTGTGATGTGAGATGGGGATTGAGATTGATTTTTCCCCCAACTTTTTCCCGTGTTAATTTTCTTGTTCTTCTGTTTCTTTGATTCTGCGCTTTATTATTCTACTTTCTTTGAAATTTAATTTACTCTTCTTTTTCTAGCTTAAGGTGAAAACTTAGACCAATGATTTATTTAGACCTTTTCATATAAGCACTTAAAACTATACATTTCTCCCTAGTGTTGCTCTAATGCATCCCATGAATTTTGATATTTAATATTTCATTGTCACTTAGTTCAAAATATTTTCTAATTTCATGTGTAATTTCTTTTTTGACCTATGCGTTATATAGAAATATTTGGGACATTTATAGACATCTTTCTGCTATTGGTTTCTGACTTAATGTATGTGTGTGTGTGTGTGATCAGCAAACTTACTTTCAGATTTTAATATTTTGAAATGTGTTGAGACATTTTATGGCCTAGAGCTTGTGTTCAGTGTTGGTGTTCCATGTGTACTTGAAAAGAATGAATATTCTGCCATTGCTGGGTGTAGTGTCCTTTAGATATCAATCCAGTTAAAGTAGTTACTAGTGTAGTTTGTGTCTTCTTACTGATTTCTATCTACTTGTTCTATTATTATGGAGACAGAAGTGTTGAAATCTCATCTATAATTGTAGACTTGTTTCTATAATTGTAGAATTGTTTCTCCTTCCAGTTCTGTCAAGTTTTGCTTCATGTATTTCAAAGCTATGTTCTTATTTATGAGTATGACTTCCTGATTTGTTGATCTTGTCATTGTGAAGTATCCCTTTTTATTTTTTGTAATACTCCTTTTCTTGAAGTCTATTTTGTCTGACATTAATGCTACCACTCCAGCTGTCTTAAGTTTGCTGATGCATGCTATATGTTTTCCTCCTGCTTTTCACTTTCAGCTTATCTGGATCTTTATAGTTAGAGTACATGTATTAGAAACAGCGTTTTTGATAGCGTTGGATTTCACTATTTTATTTTGCTATTTGTTTTCTATTTCACCATTTTTTTTTGGCGCTCTGTTCCTCCTTTCATATTCTTTTGGACTAATCAAAATTTTTTTAGGGGGTGGCCTGGTGGCATAGCGGTTAAGTTCACATGTTCTGCTTCTTGGTGGCCTGGGGTTTGCTGATTTGGATCCCAGGTGCGGACATGGCACTGCTTGGCACGCCATGCTGTGGTAGGCATCCCACATATAAAAAAGTAGAGGAAGATGGGCACAGATGTTAGCTCAGGGCCAGGCTTCCTCAGCAAAAAGAGGAGGACTGGCAGTAGTTAGCTCAGGGCTAATCTTCCTCAAAAAAAAAAAAGAAAAAGAAAAAAAAATTTTTTTAGTATTCCTGTAGTTCTTTTTTTTTTTTTTAAGATTTTATTTTTCCTTTTTCTCCCCAAAGCCCCCTGGTACATAGTTGTGTATTTTTGGCTGTGGGTCCTTCTAGATGTGGCACGTGGGATGCTGCCTCAGCGTGGCCTGACAAGTGGTGCCATGTCTGTGCCCAGGATCTGAACGGGCGAAACCCTGGGCTGCCAAAGCAGAGCGTGCGAACGTAACTGCTCGGCCACAGGGCTGGCGCCCCTTTAGTTCTTCTGCTGGCTTTTTGTCTATACCTTCTCTGCAGTTTTTTAAATATATGATTTAGGATTACAATATGAATCCTTAACTTAATCCAGTTCCCTTAGAGTTTAGGTTGTACCATTTCACATAAAACGTAGGAACCTTGCAGCAGTAGAATTCCACTTACCACTTCGTGGTCTTTATGCTATTATTGTCGTATAGACCACATCTGCGTACATTTTAATGCCCATAATACAGTGCTATGATAATTTTTATTTTAAGCAGTCATGTCTTTTAAAGAAATTAAGAGAAGAAAAAAATATACTTTCTTATAATTACCCATATATTTACTGTTTTAATGTTTTTCATTTCTTCTTCTACATCCAGGATTCCAACTGATTTTATTTTTCTTCAGCCTGAAGAAATTGCCTTAGCATTTCTCGTGATGCAGGTTTGCTAATGGTGAATTCTCTCGGTTTTCATTTACCTGAAAATATCTTTATTTCACCTTATTTTTTTACCCAAATTTTTGAAGGATTTTTTCTAGATATTGAATTCTGGGATGTCTGACAGTTTTTTGTTTGTTTTCTGCCATCACTTTAAAGTTATCATTGTTTTCTGTTCCCATTGTGTCTGATGAGAATTCAGTTGTCATTTGTATCATTTTTCTCTGGTATGTAATGTATCCTTTTCTTCTGACTGCTTCTAAGATTTTCTCTTTATCTTTAATTTTCAGTAGTTTTACTATGGTATGCCTAGTTATGGTTTTAGTTATATTTTCTTTGCATTTATCCTGCTTTGAGTTTGCTCTATTCTTGAGTCTTTATGTTTCTCACCAAATTTGGGGAAATTTTGGCCATTATTCAAATATTTTTTCTACCTTTTGCTTTCTGTCCTCTCCTTCTGCAGTCTAATTACACGTATGTTAGTCTGTTCTGCACATTGTTCTACATGTTTCTGAGGCTCTTTTCATCTTTTCCTTTCAATCTTTTTTTTCTTGAGATTAGGTCATTTCTATTGCTCTGCCATTTGTGTTCACCGACTTTTCTGCCATCTCCAATCTGCTGTTAAATCCACCCTGTGAATATTTTATTTCATATTTGTGCTTTTTGGTTCTAGAATGTTCATTTTTATAGTTTGTGTTTTCTCTTTTTTGTATTCATTATAACTGTATTTTCCTTTAAATTCTTGCATGTATTTATAATGACTGCTTTAAAATTCTTGCCTGTTAATTCCAGCATCTGGACCATAGATTGATTTCTATTGACTTCCTTTTCTCTTGACTCTGGGTCACATTTTCCTGTTTCTTCTCATGTTAATTTTTTAATTGTTTGTTGGACATTGTGAAGGACACATTGCAAAGGCTCTGGATTTTGTTATCTTCTTCTGGAGACAATTGATTTTTTGCTTTAGCAGGCTGTTAAACTTGCTTAGACTCAGACGCCAGACTCTGTCTCCTTTGCAGTGGATAGTAGCTGACATCTCTGCTGAGGTCTTTCAAGTCTTTCGTCTGTTGGTTTTTTGCTGGGCCCTTTGGAGTCTCTTCTGTGCATGTACAGATCGAGAGTTAGCCAAGAATTTGGGCAGATTTTGCCGTGATTTTTGTGGTTCCCTCCTTTCTAGCACCCTCTCACTTTCTAGTCTCTCTGGCAGCCCCGAACTCTGTCTTCTGATTTCTCAAACCAGTAGATCTGCAGCTTTCTGCTTGATTTCCAGCTGCACCTGCCAACCATGCTGACTGGAGAAAGCCCTCTAGCAAATAGCCATATACAGACGGATTTCACCTGGTACAGTTCTCTTCTTTTCTGGTTATCTATAGTTAGATAGAAAACTACCCCAAATGTAGTGGCATTAAACAGAAACAGTCATTTATTACTATTATTGTTATCCCTCGTGGTTCTAGGGCTTCACTGGACTCAGTTGGATGGCTCTTGGTTGGGTCTCCTACTGTCCTAATCAAATGGGGGTTGAAGTCATTTTGACATCTTCCTCACTCTCATAGATCTCGTGGTTGATCCTGGCCATTGCCTGGGACCCAGTAGGACTGTCAGGTGGAACACGAATACGTAGCCTCTGCCTGGACTTTCTCATGATGAGTAGGTTCCAAGAACAAGAATCCTGAGAAGGCAAACCAAGTGGAAGCTCCATTGCCTTTTTCATTACCTAGCCTTGGAAGCCATAGCATCACTTCTGCCACATTCTGTTCAGTAAGGCAGTCACAAAGCAGAGCCTATATTCACGTGGAAGGAATTAGACTCCACTTTTTTGGGGGGGAGGAGTGTCAAAGAATTTTCCGACATGGTAGGAAACCACCAAAACTTCTTTCAAATTTTGTATTCCCTCCAATTTTTGCCTGCCTTTGGTCATTCTCTAGTGCTTCAAGTAGTTGTGTAGAATTTATGATATTATCTGGTAGTCCAATACAAACTACTCCATCATTACCAGAAGTGAAACTCTTTCTCCTCCTCTTCTTTCCTCTGTAGCACTCATCACACTTGACGTTTAATATAATTTATGTATTTATTTGGTTTATTTTGTGTCTCCTCCCTCTAAAATGCAAGCTCCGTTAAGTTAGGGGATTTTGTCTCTTTGGTATCTGCTAGGCACATTGAAGCTGCTCAACAAATATTTGTTGAACGAATGGATGAGTCTTTAACTCTTCAAAACAGCCGTAAGTAAACAAAAGCCTCTCACTGACAGAGGTGGAGCCGCACATTATAGAGCCTTGTTCTTTCAACACAGTTGCACTGGTAGACTCTCATATCTCAGGTTTCCTTCTCCTTGGATTACGGAACAGGACACAGAGATTTTGACATTTCATTCTCATCATGACTGTCATGTGTGTCAATTAAGCAGACTAGATAGTTGGTTACCGTTCAAATGAAATAGCATGGGAAAGTACCTTGTGCAGTGTAAAGCACTAGGAGATTATAAGGGGTATCGATCATTATATGCAGTTGCATCCATTAGGCTGGCTTTTTCAGATTTCATTTTCAAAGTATGTTTCTGTGTGTGTATGTTTAAAGGACGAATATTTTGAATTACCGAAACAATAATAAAAGTCATAGCAATGTGTTTATAATAAAGTCCTTACTAAGTTCGTATTAATGTTTCGTCTGACTTTTTTTTTTAGGAACTTAAGAGATTTCAGAACTTTGTGAAACACTGTCCTCCTTTTGATATTGTCATTGATGGGCTCAATGTTGCCAAAATGTTTCCTAAAGCTCGTGAATCTCAAGTCGTAAGTACACGTTTTATTTTGCTATTCCAAATCTCTAGAAATATTTATTGTACCCATTTGTGATCTTCCTTGGGTCTCTTAGCTCCCCGTTTATCCTTCCTCTAAAAATAAGCTCCTAAGGTGCCACAGTGACCGACAACTCATCTAAGATTCATTGTTTTCATCTCAGGCAAGTAAGCGGCTCTTACAGGCTGGGCAGGAGTGAGAGATGAGAAAGTCCATGTAAGAAAGGGCCAGTTCAGCCCTTTTTGTATAACTTTTCGCTGACGTTCTTCTAGGTCTCTACTCTCTCTTTGGGGTTGCTCTGTCATTTCCCTGTGGGTCACATCCTGCAATTTGAAACTATCAACATGCGCTGTATCAAGAGGTATTCATTACTCACATTTGTTTTTTCCAAATACAGTATGTTCATAAACTAATCTAAACAGTTATTTTTTGGTAAGATAATCATTTGTTCTATCAACTTATAAATGCCCTAGTAATTTCTAATAGTGATATCATGATTTTTTATAGCAGCAGTGTGCAATTATTTTAATCCTCATTTTACAAATTAGAAAAGTGAGGCTAATTTTGTACACTAAATCCTTGGAAAGCAGTCATAACATCAAAATTGGATTGCAGAGAGCTCTCCTGGGTTTCTGGCTTGTGGCCCTTATCCCTGGCAATCTATGGCCATTCATCTGTAGTTAAACTCTGTTACTTCTTAAAAATTGACGCCAACTTAAACAGAGAATCGCCAGTCCAATTTGGCCATTTATACTCAGAAAAGCTTACAAGTACTAACAAAGGACAAGGTTGATTTACAGAAATTTATATATGCCTTTCCTTTATATTTGAGTCTTCATTTTTATGGTCAACTATGTGCTTTTTAAATCCTTTATTTAAAAAAAAATCACAAGAGCAAGTTGAAAATATTTTTGTCTCTTAGGTACTTGAAGGGGTCTTTGAGGTGGTAATATTGACAAAGGCAAAGCTGGGAAAGGAAGCATGACATTATTATCGCTAGTGCTGGGTAGAGCTCAGAATCAGAAGAGCTCGTTCTGAAAAGTTCACCATCGAATCTGTGAGGAATGAAAGTTTCGTATTTGTTTACCTTTTGTTTGACTTTCAGCTTCACACAAAGCACTAAAAATTGGCTTGCCAGAGATACACATCCCAAATTGGGCTAACTTTTTGGGGGAAAGTAACATGTTGAAGATAATATAGTGGACATGTCCCCCAGCATTATGGGATAAAAATGTGCACATTTTGAAAGATGTTAGCAGATGTTGGCAGACAGAGAGGCAAAGAACAAAAGATCGACCAGGGAAATCACAGGAATCTCGGCTACTTTTAGCTTTTACTCCTAAAGGAATTTAATGTTAGCAACAGTTGATGTGACAAGTAGTTGTTATTACCCAGCTCTTCAGAGCACTCTTATCTTGTGGCAACGCACTGGCATGAGATTTGGGAAACCTCAGCTTGGGGACTCAGCGTAGAGACACCACCTGAATGAGGAAAGAGGAAAAGAACTTCCTCCTGAAGTTTTGTCTCGAATCTCTAAAGCTAGAGATTTGTAAAAAATAATGGCAAATCACATTTCCCATAGGCCCCTGTGTTTTGATTTTTTGGGTGAATCTTACTGGCAGGGCCTATTGTGGCTTAGTTCCATTCTTACACACTTTCTAGGTTGTCAGAAGTAGCTTCCCACTTTTCCAGTTGATCTTGTAAATAGCATTTTCGCTTAGAAGTTAAGAATGGGGCGTCTGGAGCCAGACCCTTTGAATTCCGATCCTGGCTCTGCGACTTCATAGCTTCCGTAGTTTGAGCAAGTTACTCAACCTCTCTGTGCCTTAGTTTCCCAGTCTGTAAAATGGAGATAATAATATCTCATAAAGATGTTGTGAGGAATAATTAATACGTATAAGCACTTAACACATAGTAAGTACCTAGTAGGTGTAACTATCATTGTGAGTAGTGTCCAAATTCACTTCCCAAATGGAACCATCATTCTTGCTTTCAGCAGACCCTTATTTGGCAGTTGAAGATTTTCTCTTGTCATGTCATCCGTCTCAGTGGAGTTGAAAGTAAATACAAGACTGCCTCAGTGTTAGATGGCATCTAGTCAGATACTCAGCTAAGGCTTGATTGAGAATTGAAGCCAGCACCATCAATAACAGACAAAAAATTTTAAATATGATGGTTTTAAGAAATTTTTTTTCTGATTATCAAAGAAATGCATGTTCATTGTAGAAAATTTGGAAATTACAAGAAAGAAAATTGTATATAATCCTACTGTTCAGCAATAATCACTGTCAATGTTTTATTTCCTTGTAGTAGTTTTCTATTTTTTACCTAGTTGAGCTCCAACTGTGTAAATAATTATATATCTATATTTTAATTTACAGTTGTTGAAAGCTCTCAGTAAAAGTGAAATTATAAAAGGAGAAAACATGTGCTTTTTAAAATGTTTGAGATGGAAGGACCTTCGAAGCCTACATAAAATCCAGGAGCTCTAATGGGAAGAATAGAGAAATTTGCTAGATAGTAAGAAACACTATAAACACTGTTAAACGATAACAACAAACTGAAAAAATTGTTTACAACACGTGACAAAAGGCTCATTTCCTGATTAGACCAAGGAATCTTCTGCCTGTAAGAACAAAATGAATTATGAAGTAGAAAAGTGGTTTAACCTTATTCATAATTATAGATATGCAAATTAAAATATTTAGCCTCCAGATTGGCAGAGATTTACAAGTTGGTAGTATTTAGTATTTTAAATGGTTTGGAGAGGTAGAGAGGAGGGTATCAGTGGAATATTTTTCATGAGTGATTTGGCTATAACTTTGAATACCTAAAATGTTGAAATTCTACTTGTAGGAGATATATTCACACTAGTACATAAAGTTATACATCTAAGTATTTTAGTTATACGATTGTCTGTAAGCAGAAGAGTCTAATCCACCTGAATATCTATCAGTCTAGGACCTGATGTATGTTGAAACATCCACTTTGAATGACTGAGGTAGACCTGTATGTGCTGATACAGAGCAACAGCCAAAATAAGTGTAAGAAGCAAGTTGAAGAACAACATGCTTAATATGGCCCCGCTTGCGTTAAAAACAAAACAAAAGATTACACATATGTAAATGTTAGATAAGTTTGGATATGCCTAGAAAATTTGTAGAAATTACATACACAGAAAAACAATAGTTAACTTTGAGAGTTTGGGATAGAATATAAGAGAATGAAAGGATTTCAGTTTTTCATTTTTATTTTTTGAATTTTTTTTTTTACAATGAGCATATATTACTTTAAAATAAAAAACAAACTACCATCAGGAAAAGAAAAAAGTGGAAAGACATTCTTGGTAAATATTCTGAAATAACTATAATACTCTAGTCTTGTGGATATACTACAATTTTTTAATCCTTTCTCTGTTGGTGGGCTTTTTCGATTGTGTCTGCTTTTTCCTCTGGTAAGTCATGCTTGGAAGATCTTTGCACTTGTTTTAGGTGATTTCTTTGGAATAGATTCCCAGAAATAGAACTCTGGAGTCAAAGGGTATGGATATTTTTAAAGGTCTCACCATATTGCCAAAATGCTTTCCAAAATGATTGTAGCAATTTATGCTCCCACTAACAGCGTAGAAAAGTGCCCAGATGAACACTTTTCTTCAAGGTTGCTTGTTACATGATGGCTTCAACTATTTAGTTACATTTGTGCCATGGATCTGCTAAGTGAAAAGAGCTGGACAGTTTTTTCCTGCCATTATTTAGGTCAAACATTCTTTAAATTTGTAAACAAAGTTTAATAAAATGGCCCAGAAAGGAAATATTCTGCACTGTCTTATTTGGCCTCTTTAGCGCTCTCTCTTAATACAATTGCCTATAAGTGTACATAAAGGAAAGATTAGGAATCCTAGTTCTATGAGTCTTGAGTTTTTTCATCATTGTGTGAAGTTTCCAGATTTTTTCTGTAGAATAATCATTTATGTTGTACCCATGAACTCTGCATCATATGTGACAAATTATTCTTGGTCCTTTTCCATTAGTGGTTACTTAGATATCCAACATTGTTCTCTGTAAGCTCATAAATGAGAAAAGACCATTTTTACGTTCATTATTTAGAGAGTAGGACTATGATCCCATAGCTTGATCTCAGAGCATACTTAGGGGTGACAGAGATTAAGGAGCTAAAAATAAGTTCTGGCTGTGAATTTTATTTTATTTTCTTAATTTTCATATGCACCTTTTTTTATGTATTAATTTTTTTGAAGTCAGGGTATGTCTTATAATTGATGTCAGCAGAAACTTGCCAGCTGCCGTGTAGAGCTGGGACTCAGTGGTCGTCACTGCCTGGGTGTGCACAAGTTAGCTGAACACAGTGTATGTCTGTTCATCCACTTGTCATCTCAGTTGAGTTAGTTATATTGGCAGCTCCACACACCGTTTAACCTAAATCTTAACTTTAAATATTTACTGAAGGTTTTCTAACAACGCAGTAAAAGGCAGTGGTAACTGACACATTTCTACAGATTTTAAAGTGAGGAGAGATTGTTATAACTGATTTTTGCATTTTGAAAAGCTGTCACTCAGGCAGCAAACTTCTGTCTGCCAAAAGCTTCCCATAGACATTCAAGAGAAGTTGATTAACTTACAGAGTGGCATAATTCATTGAATGAAAAAGCATTAATCCAATGCAAAATATAGGGAAAACCCAGTATTCTTCCATCTGTCTTTGCTGTTGGTCCTAAAAATTGTACAAAGGAGAGATGAACAACACAGGTTCTCAGGAGAGTGGTATGTAACCTGTCGCCAGGAGGCTGTACAGAGCTGCTGTGACCAAAAGCAATTCAGAAGAGCCTGAACCCAGATATGAAGGTGTGTATTTAAGTGTTACTTCTGATTCCGAAGAAAAGAATATAGTATGGAACTGGATGGATTCATATATGATTTTGTTGGTTATTAAAAAAGGACAATTTTTTTGTTCAGTTTTTGCTTAAAAGTTATTACTAA